AGCACCCCATATTGACAGAAAAACACGGAATTGTTGACATTTTTGCAGATTTATTAAAAAAGTAAAACTGAAATATCACATGGTCCTACGTATTCAGACCCTTTGCTCAGTATTTAGTATAAGCACCCTTTTGATCTAATACAGCCATGAGTCTTTTTGGGAAAGATGCAACAAGTTTTTCACACCTGGATTTGGGGATCCTCTGCCATTCCTCCTTGCAGATCCTCTCCAGTTCTGTCAGGTTGGATGGTAAACGTTGGTGGACAGCCATTTTTAGGTCTCTCCAGAGATGCTCAATTGGGTTTAAGTCAGGGCTCTGGCTGGGCCATTCAAGAACAGTCACAGAGTTGTTGTGAAGCCACTCCTTCGTTATTTTAGCTGTGTGCTTAGGGTCATTGTCTTGTTGGAAGGTAAACCTTCGGCCCAGTCTGAGGTCCTGAGCACTCTGGAGAAGGTTTTTGTCCAGGATATCCCTGTACTTGGCCGCATTCATCTTTCCCTCGATTGGAAGGGTTCTGGTCGTCCCAAATGTCTTCCATTTAAGGATTATGGAGGCACCTTGTGCTCTTAGGAACCTTAAGTGCAGCAGATTTTTTTTTGTAACCTTGGCCAGATCTGTGCCTTGCCAGAATTTTGTCTCTGAGCTCTTCAGGCAGTTCCTTTGACCTCATGATTCTCATTTGCTCTGACATGCACTGTGAGCTGTAAGGTCTTATATAGACAGGTGTGTGGCTTTCCTAATCAAGTCCAATCAGTATAATCAAACACAGCTGGACTCAAATGAAGGTGTAGAACCATCTCAAGGATGATCAGAAGAAATGGACAGCACCTGAGTTAAATATATGAGTGTCACAGCAAAGGGTCTGAATACTTAGGACCATGTGATATTTCAGTTTTTCTTTTTTAATAAATCTGCAAAAATGTCAACAATTCTGTGTTTTTCTGTCAATATGGGGTGCTGTGTGTACATTAATGAGGAAAAAAAATTAACTTAAATGATTTTAGCAAATGGCTGCAATATAACAAAGAGTGAAAAATTGAAGGGGGTCTGAATACTTTCCGTACCCACTGTATGTGGGGGCGTGTTAGAACGAGCCATTTTAGGGGGGTGTGGCAGAGTCTTAACTTTGATAAAGAATATCTCTTTGGTTTTGAGACTTTAGTCTTTGCAACTTCAGGGATCTTATCTATTCACGAACAGCTTGTAACACTCCAAAGAGAAAGGAAAACTTGAAATCGCATCATATGACCCCTTTAATGCAAATTGAAAGCTCGCAGTTTCTCCCCTCGTCCTCATCCTGACAGCATTGTTTATGGATGTGTTGTGTGTTACCATTAACTTTGAATTGGCAAGAACTGTAGTGCTCTATAACCCAAATGTCCACTTTGTACAATACAAGCCGATCAGGGATGAGGTAATACATTAGCGCTTGGCTCTGAATAATGTCCAACGCGACAGTAAATACTCTCCACTGCAGCTTAATTAACATTCCCTGCATTGTCAGAGTGCAAGGTGCTTTGGCTGGAGGGAATTCCTCACTTAAGAGCTTTGACTAATGTCCTCGCTGGCTGAGAATGCCCAGGTGTCTTTCAGTGACAGTCAACCTTGAGGAAACGACTGTCTCTGTGTTCATATGGCCGCCGATGTCTCAAGGACCCAGTCTGTGGTCTTTACTTAGGAACTGACTGTGCCTTTTGCGTCTGCCTTAGGAGAATGCATGTTTAATAAAGCAATTTATTTCATAAGGTCCGGAAATGTACCATCTATTGTTGAAATGAAATGAAAGGAGGTCTGAATAGGTCACCAGTCTAGCAGATTTTTTTCTCCCGTGCATGTAATTCTAATCAACAATCATTATTGAACAATAATTAACCGAATATTCAGTAAATTGACACTATGTGTTTCTCATAATTGCTTTGTGTAATATATGTTTTGAAAATCGCCAATTTGAGTAGTATAGTCTTGTTTATTTTCACAAATCTTTATAGAGGAGTTTTAGAGAGTAACTAAGTATTTTATTTCCACAGTCTGTCAGAATTGCCTTTGTTACTTTATGGTTATTAGCACAAACTTGATTTACTGAGACAGACTGAGGGGCTATTCACACACAACATGTTTTTCCATTCCACTGTGCTACTTTTTCATTGTTGTAAATATGCATTAGATGGACATCTTTGACCGCTGCTCTCACTGGTAGTACTTATTTTTACTCGTCCTCATGTCATTCCAAACCTGTTTGTTTGTTAGTTATGTCAGTAAAACACATACAGAGGACTTTTGAAGAACCTTCATGAAGCTCTATTCCTTACAAATGACAGTTCATATTGACCATGTATGTGTGAAAAATTACATAAATAAATATATGTATGTTTAAGTAAAACTATAAATAAATATATGTATAAATTTAAATAAATATTCACTGCCATTCAGTTAAGAGGAAAAATTCCAGTATGTACCATAGCAACATAAATTTCTCCCCTTTCTCATATGGCTTCAGAAGAAAGTTCATTTTGCCAATTTTGTTTTGTTTTTTTGAAAGACGTGGTCATTATCGAAATTAAAGATTTACATGAACATTATAAATTAAAGTAGAAGAAAAATAAATTATTTTAAGTAGAAATAACAGCAAATCAGTTTAAAACAACATGCGGGTAAGTAAGTAACGACAGAACTGGGATAAGGCCAGTTCTTTCAGTTATCATCCTGTGCTTCTGAATCGGTCACGTCACACAATTCTTCAGTGTCTTTGTGAGTGTCAGAATAACCTCGATCACTGCCAGTTTCTATGTTTCTGTGTATGTGTGCGTCTCAAGTCTTCTAAATAGGGCACTTTAGAGTGAACCACTTTTAAATGGACATGGGTTTGTAAACACCATTAAACAAAGAGATTGGTATTAAATACAGACAGTTAGCTGTGTAAATGTGTGCCCTGGAAAATATAGTAAAGAAAACGTGTATCACTAATACAGATCTACAACTTTTCGAGAAAGCCATGAAAGGTCAGAAAAGACAAGCTGCTTAGTGGATAACAGATTTGTGGTTTGTTAACCATAGCACAAACACACACACATTCATACATGTGCATGTTCACAAACACATAAATTGCGCTCAGCATTGACTTGGCTTGATGTGTGCTTTCCAAGAAACACAAGGACTCCCATTTCCATTCCATGAAGCGTGTCAGTAATGACTCAGTGGCAGCATGGGCTTTATTGCCAGATTTACTACCTCTGACCTAACCTCATGTGTCATGTGGATAATCTCAGCGTTCTAAAAACGTGACGCTAAGGTTAATAGAAGTTCAACTTTTAAAAAGCACGACTTTCAAAACTTGCATTTTTTCCTTCATTCCACATCTCATTTTTTGTTTTTCAAATCAAAAATGCTTTTTTTGTGTGAATGGCCCCGACTCTTTTTACCACTTAATGCTGTGTTTTGTATTCATATTTATTAAAACTACATATTGCAGATCATTGTCCTTGTATATGCACATTTAGTAAGGTTTATTTCTTTATTTATTTTGCATTTCTGGTAATGTAAGCAGAGGACTATCAGAGGATTTGTGGGTAAAGACTTGGGTGAGTTGGTTGTTTGTGCTTACTCAGACTTACTGAGATGTCTGTGTAAGGATGAGTCAAGGCTTATAGCCCCTCAGCACATGGACACACACACACACACACACACACTCACAATATGCTGTGACATCAAAGTGGAAATTTAATATTCATCAGCATATGCTTTTGGAGGGTTTATTTCTTTAGTGCGAGTTAAGTTGTATCTCCTGATCAAGAGAAGAACATTTTTGCAAACTCTTGACTTGGCCAATGCAGCATTTTAAGATTCTGCTAACCCTTCGGATATTTCTCTCTTCCCCCAGGACTTTGATGATTTCATCTTTGCTTTTTTTGCTGTGGAGATGGTAATCAAGATGGTTGCACTGGGCATCTTTGGGAAAAAGTGTTACCTTGGAGACACCTGGAATCGGCTAGACTTCTTCATTGTATTGGCTGGGTGAGTCCTGAAATGACTTTACTGAAACTTCAAAAGTTTGGGGACAAAGTGTTTTTTTTTTTTCAAGGAATTGTTACTTTTATTCAACAAGGTTGTATTAAATTGATCAAAAGTGAGATTTGTATATATTGTTTTTAGACTTTTATATTTTACAAAAGATTTATTTAAAATACATGCTGTTCTTTTGATCTTTCTATTCATCAAAGAATCCTGAAAAAAAGTATCACTTTCAGCAAAAAATAATAAACATGAAACATTAAAAAAAAATATTAAACAATATTAAAAATCAACATTGATTATAGAAAATATTGTATATATATATATATATATATATATATATATGAG